CCCCCTCAGAGAGGCCCCCCTCCCCCCTCCCCATCCACCCTGGGGGTCTCCCCACTCTCCCCACCTTCTCCACGGCGTAGAAGAGCCGCTCGTAGAGGTCGCGTTGGGTGTAGACGGCGTAGGAGTCGTCGGCGCCGTCCACGTAGTCCTTGAGGAAGAGGTGCTTGAAGGCAACAGTGTTCTCCTCCTTGAAGGTCACCACCATCTGGTTGCTGAGCCCGAAGAGGATGAGCTGAACCACAGGAGTCCTCAGGTTGGAAGGGACCCCTGGAGATCATCCGTCCAACCCCCTGGAGAGCAGGGTCACCTCCAGCAGATCCCACAGGAACCAGCTGGGCTGGGAATGTCTCCAGAGCAGGAGACTCCACAGCCTCTCTGGGCAGCCTGGCCCAGGGCTCTGCCACCCTCCCAGGAAACAACTTCCTCCTCCTGGGGAGCTGCAACTTCCCATGTTCCAGCTGCTGCCCATGGCCCCTTGTCCTGGCCCTGGGCACTGCTGAGAAGAGCCTGGTCCCCCCCTCCTGCCCCCCTGGAGATCTGGAGCAGCCTTGAGGAGACCCCCCCTCAGGCTCCTCCTCTCCAGCTCCACAGCCCCAGCTCCCTCAGCCTTTCCTCACGGGCCAGATGCTCCAGTCCCCTCAGCCCCTTGGTGGCCTTTGCTGTCCCCTCTCCAGCAGCTCCTTGTCCTTCTGGGGAGCCCAGCCCTGGACCCACTTCTCCAGATGGGCCCTCACCAGAGGGGCAGGAGAACCTCCCTGCCCTCCTGCCCACACTCATGGCAAATGGCCCAAACCACGGCTGTTTCACCCCAAAGATGCTCACGGGACACAAAAAGCCACCACCCCACACTTGGGTGACCCCAAGAACAGAAGGACCATCCCCAAGATCGTCCCCCATCTCCACCTGGTGGCCCCCAAACCTCTTGGCCTGAGGGTCCTGGAGCTCCTGTCCCAGCAGGGGCAGGACAATCTCCCTGGGGACACAAATGTGTGTGTGTCCCCCAGACAGGGGGAGGACAATCTTGGGGTTCAGGCAGGAGCAGGACCTAAGGCCCTGGTGTCACGATGTCCCTTGGGGGGGGTGTGACATGCCAGCTGTCCCCTCCA